GACCGATGTTGCCACGCTCTGTACCGCCGCAGTGGGCCTTGGATCTGATCCTCCCACTGCGTGCGCAGCGTGTGGCCTGGCAAAATTTATGGACAGTTGAGGCGGCGTCTAATAATTTGGAGACGTGTTTTGCTGAGCTGTCTTTGTGCGAAGGAGAGTTCTTTGCGTTTGCAGTCAAAGTTTTTTCTTCCTTCCGAGGTTTTCCCTTTTCTCCGTTAGTTGCTGAGATGAGTACCCGACGTGTCGCGCCCCGCAGCGAGCTCCTCCTGCTGCTGCAGCACCCCCTGCTCCCCCGACCCGCAGCATGACTGCTCGAGCTCCTCCTGCTGCTGCAGCACCCCCTGCTCCCCGGCAATGCTGGCTCCGGCGCCCGGGTTTTTTCCTTGCCAAATTGCAACCCTCCAGGCCTTGATCGCCACATTGGTCCAGGCGGCTGTTGGAGCCGTCGCCCTTGCAGCCTCAGGTCAGGCGGGGTCGACACGCCGTCCGTCCCGCCCGGCTACCCCTGCCAACACTGCCGATCCTTGGGTGCAGGTGGAGGAGTCGCTTCCCACAGGTACGGGTGTGTGTAGTAGTAGTTCCACACGTGTGCCTTCTAGTGCTAGCCTCCCTACCCCGGTGGCTGCGTCGACTGTTGTAGACGGGCTGTCTCCCCCTAGTGCTGTGACTATCCATAGCTCTCGTGTGCCTACTCCTAGTGTGAATATCTCCAGCAGTCTCGCATACAATGATTATGTGTGTAACCCTAGTGCTGTCAATGTCAGGTCCTGTAAGCCCTCGGTCACACTACAGCAAGTTAAGCTGGACGCAGCGTCAAGCCGCAGCACTTGACGCAGTCGCGGGGTCACACAGTGTTTTGTTTTTGCAGCTCGTGACTGCCGCGGTCTGACGCATTTGTCAACGTGACAAAATCACCCGGGAAACTCAATGACGACATGGATTCCCACGGAAACCGTCCTTTTGTTTATTATACAAAATAATTGTCAGACAAAATTTTCAAAATTTTCATTGATTTTTCATTATTACAAGAAGACGAAAGGTCCACATGTGCACAATTGTTGTTGTTTCCTTCTGAATTATTTGAAGCCCTTTTCAGTTGTAGTGTCATGGATAAGCCAAGAAAAGTCCGCATCTCAGCTGTGTTTCTCCTGACTTCGTCATAGTGGTTCTCCTTTTTTGGGGCTCTTGACGACAACACAACACTCACAAGTGAGCAGGCTCCAGTTGAGCGATGACCCACTCATACTACTGTCCTTTTTCAACATCATTTTCTTCTCAGAAAACGCCTCGCTCTTCCGCCAGGTTTGGAGAAGAGCAGCCTCGGCCTCGTAGGTCCACAGACTCATCTCGAAAAAAGAGGGAACAAAACAAACCTTGAAGAGACGAATGTCGAAAGACTGCTCAACTCAAGCAACTGCCTTAAAAGACACTGTTTTTTCGCCAAGCGTCACTCCTATCAGCGGCAACACGGCCGATTTCCCCACGTCAGATGCAGCAGCGTCTGATGCTCAAATTTCCCGCGTCTGCGTCAGTTGCCATGGAAAGGCTCATGATTCTGACGCTGACGCAGCATTTTTGCCGTAGTGTGACCGAGGCCTAATGGGCGACTGACCACGTGTCCCGCAGTACGTACGACGAGGTGCTGCGCGGGAAAGATGTGGAGCTTGCGTTGTTCCTCACTCCCCTTGCGGACGAGCCAGCCACGAAGCGAGTCCAGGTGTCAGAGGACAGTGGCCAGCTAGTGCTCTCCCCGTCCCTGTTATCCCGCCACAAGTAAAGCCGGCGGGCCGCTGGAGAAGCTCTGCATGCGAATGTTACGTGCGGCAGCCAGCCGGGATGCCTATCTTGTAAGTTAGTGAGCGGCTCTCGCCATTCAAACTAGTGTGTGTATGCCTGCACGGGCATGGTATTACTGTGAGTAATTTGCTGCAATTGCAGCCGTGGCCACATAGCTAGCTCGTTGTGGATTGCGGGGAACGGGATGCCATGGTTTCTAGGACTACTATCTTTTTTGGGGCGAACGGGCCTCCTATTGTGTCTGTATGTTGTGACGCCTGATGCCAGGCAGTCATGTGAGCCCTCGGTGGGTGATTTGCTGGCCTCGGTAGCTGTTTGTGTTTGCCCTCTGCGGGCAAGATGATACTGGCCCTCAACGGGCGGTTTGCTGGCCGCGGCGGCCATTTGAGCGCCCTCGGTGGGCAGTATGCTAGTTTAGCCCTCGGCGGGCGGTTTGCTGCCCTCGGCGGCTATTTGCGCGGCCTCGGTGGGCAGTAGGCTAGTTTAGCCATTCGGGCGACCTCGGTGGGCAGTATGCTAGTTTAGCCCCCGACGATGCTAGTTTCCTCCATGCATCTTTACTCAATCAATTATTATTCTTGAATACTTGAATTGTCCAAAAGAAATCCTGGCAACCCCCAACCCAATGTGTCTATTGTATGTTTGTGCACGCCATAGTGAGCGATACGTTGTGCGGGTGTCTGCGTGTCAGAGCATGGGTACGCCAGTGGCGCGTGCGTGCATGTGTTCGCTTGTGTCTGACTGCGTGGGTTCACGAGTACCCAAGCTGGGCGTGCGGGTTCACTTGGAGGTGCTTGCATATTTACGGGTGCAGGGGCTAACCGTGTACTTACCCTCGCATTCACACGCGAACTATCAAACACGTCCTGTGCCGCATGCTGATCAATTAGTGCCATATTTGTATTGTACAGTGCACTCTCAGTTGACATGCCCCCTTTCGAACCCAGACAATCTTTTCGGGATTGGTCTATTATACCATTTTCTGTCTTCAGGATGCTGAGTCGAATGATTTTGGTCCGAGGAATTTGAGACGCTCTTTTCCTCCTTTATCCCCAATCGAACTCACGCTCTTCCACCGAAACTGGGTGACCCTATCAGAGGGGGATTTTGGAAAGGGTTTGCTCCCACACTGGAGCTCGCGCTATTCCGACACTTGACTCCGGTGTGGGAGCAAACCCTTTCCCAAAAAAATCATCCCCGAAGTCGCAACCACTATTAAATAGAGGGGGATTTCTATGCAAAATGTCACTAAAAGCGCCATTTCGTTCTTATGAGCACGGATGAACACGATTGGCCCATATGTTGTAGTCTTTTGGATGCGGAGTCGACTGGTATTGTTCCAAGAAGGCTACGATGCAGCGTTTGGCCCTTATTCCAAAATAAAACACAGGTGAGTAAGCGATCACGTGCTGGTCCGTACACCAGTCACTTGGTCATCGTGCCTGCAGGCTACAACTTTTCTTCACACCAAGGTTCAACTCAAAGGTTCAAAGGGGGTTCAACTCGAGTGACAGGAACGCGCCCAAACAGGCTGTAAGTTGTAAGGAGCTTAGCTGCTCACTTCGCACCAGCTGTGTAAGCCATTGCCTGCCTGCTGGTTGTTTCACCTACTGCTTATTCTTCCAACCACGAACACCACATCGGAGAGGTCATTCAGTGCACTTCGCAGCCTGAAGACGTTTATTCAATCCACACAAGACTGTGTCAATCATCTTTCTCCAAGTTATGAGAATTCGTATACATCTAGAGGTTATACCAATGATTTCATAGAGATTTTCGAATGGACACACCAGTATACGAGGGTGAGTCAGCAGATTTTGGAATGTGTTCAATATGCGGCGCTGTGCCACGATCACTCACGAATCTGTGACTTCGCCAAAAACATTTCAACTGACGATGCACGCTGCAAAGAGCGCAGCTAGCCTTGCCCTCTCTTCTCTTTGGAGGCAACCCTGTGCCAGAGTTATCCACAATAAAGCTCTTGGGGGTGACTTTTGATCCGAAGCTGTCCTTCGCGGAGCACATCCGCGCAGTGTCTATACGTGGCAAACAGCGTCTGGGCCTCCTGCGGCGAGCTGCGCCCTATCTCTCCCGAGAAGGCCACCTCACAATGTACAAGGGGTTTGTACGGCCCGTTTGGGAGTATGCCCCGCTCGTCTGGATGGGAGCTGATCCATCCCACATTGCACGCCTAGATAGCATCCAATGCTGTGCATTACGCATCAATGGTCCCGGGACGGAGCTCCAGAGCCTCAGCCTACGGCGATACGTTGCTGCGTTAACATACACGTACAAACTGCATTTCATCACCGGTTCGACTCAATTGCTAGCAGTCCTCCCACCAAGGCTTGAGCCCCGTGACGCCACTCGCACTCGAAACGATCTTCGTATGGCCGCCGGGCACAGTTTCCAGCTACGAAATCCCCTACCGCGTCAAGCACCAGACACCATTCTCCCCAGCTTCCCACATTGTGCAACCCAGCTGTGGAATTCCCTGCCGCCAGCTTTTCTAGACTCCGCCCAATTGGCAAAAATCTTCAAAAGTTTAAGTGCAACGTAAACGAATACCTCCGCCGACAGGATTGGCGATGGACCACGGACATTCTGCCTGTTAACCCACCTACATAAAAGTGCCCCGTCAATGACTCCCATTGCTACGAATGCGCTGCACACTAGTACTAGCTGTTGTTTGCCCTTGCTTTATTTTTATTTTTGCTGACCCTTACAGCTCTATCTTTTTGTTTTTGGTTTGTGTTTCTGGCCGTGATGCCGAGACCTAAGGTCGGCAGAGCCATCAATGCCCCACCATCACTGCTGCATCTCGGTGCAGCCCCTTCTCAGTAGTTGTCACGTTTGTCCTTGTCTCAGTACCATTGTCTTTCTGTATTATTTATGAGTTGGGTATGTGAACATAGTAAAAATAAATAATAAAATAAAAACCTATATAGGTACACTACATGTACTGGTACATTGTAGTAACTTGATTCGGTCATATCATTATAAGGTAAAAATGTCCCTCCGGACCAGTCAAATATGTGGCAGCTACGGCCCTGGCATACATGATGCCGTGCACTATGTCCACATGCGCACATTAATATTCAGCGCATGAGGACAAATGGTTTGGTGTCCTTGAAAAATACTTGATGTCACAAGAGTTTGTTGCAAAGCGCATTTGATTGGTGCATTCCACCTACAAAGCTCACCTGATCTTGGACATTAACATCGACACCATTTTTTATCAGCAGCTCACACAGTGCTTTATGTCCACGGGACGCGCAGACATGTAGAAGTGATACTGGTTTGCAGTCCTATTAGGTCACCATAGCAACAAACACACACATACACACATACACATTCTTACAATCACCTGCAAAGCATACACGTTCCAGATTTTTCCTTTCTATTGCAGCATAGTACCATACACATGTACTCGAAGTACAATTGACTTCTCCAAGAACACAGCATATATCATCTTAGTGTGTGTGTCGTAGAGGACGGGGACATAGTACATGCTTGCTGGAACTTGACACAAAATTCAGAATAATACTTGCATCAGTGGTGCCTATGAACTGAACTCATAGCCTCAGATTAGTGATACAATGAGCACATCACCCCAAGAGTGTGCAACTGACCACACAGCCTTTAACCAGTGCTGCTACGCCAGAATTTCACATCACACGTGGTTCAGAAGGTTACGCTGGCAAGCGATGCAAAGTGACCCGAGGAGAGTTGAACCCAAAACAAGGTTGGGTTCAACCCTCTATGTATCATGCACGGTGTGAACATACTATGTGCAAGCTCGTCAAGTGATGTGAAGTTCTGCCATCTCATAACGTGTTACAACAAAACTGAAGTAGCACACTCTTGGGGGTTGTGTACCCTTGGGAGAACTACAGTATATTTTCCCCTATCGTTCACCTCTACTAAAGTATACCCACTGGCCAGTGGTTATGTTGTAGCTCTACTAAAGTATACCCACTGGCCAGTGGTTATGTTGTAACTCTACTAAAGTATACCCACTGGCCAGTGGTTATGTTGTAGCTCTACTAAAGTATACCCACTGGCCAGTGGTTATGTTGTAGCTCTACTAAAGTATACCCACTGGCCAGTGGTTATGTTGTCGCTCTACTAAAGTATACCCACTGGCCAGTGGTTATGTTGTAGCTCTACTAAAGTATACCCACTGGCCAGTGGGTATGTTGTAGCTCTACTAAAGTATACCCACTGGCCAGTGGTTATGTTGTAGCTCTACTAAAGTATACCCACTGGCCAGTGGTTATGTTGTACCTCTACTAAAGTATACCCACTGGCCAGTGGTTATGTTGTAGCTCTACTAAAGTATACCCACTGGCCAGTGGTTATGTTGCAGAGAAGCAGCTAAAGTCGCTGCCACAGGAAGGGAGAAAGGGTTTTCTGCAGCGAGAGAGACTCTGCTGGAACTGCCTTAAGTATGGCCATATGGCCAGAGAATGTCGGTCAGGCTCGAGATGCACGAAATGCCAGAGGAAACACCACCTGCTAATACATGATGTGTTGGATAGAGCAGGTTACAGCCGGGAGAAACCGACTGAGATAGTTACAGAGAAGAATGTTGGGTCGTGCTGTCTACACTCGCCAAGTGTGCGGCTGATGACCGGAGTGGCACGAGTTGAGGGAAGAACTCGAAACGCGAAGGTTCGCGTGTTCCTGGACTCGGGTGCTGAGGCGTCATTCGTGACTGCAGCGTTGGTGTCAGCAATCGATGCAGAACACGTCGGGGTTGAAAATGTAGAGGTGAAGCCGTTCGGCGCGGAACCAACCCAACAGCGCATGGATAAGTACGCCATCACGATCCAGGGTAGCTCCGCTAGCATTCGGGTACGCGCGTTCGTGAAACCAACGCTTGAGCTGGACCTGAAGTGCGCAAGTCCGCAGACCGTTGCGCAGTGGCACAGTTGGGGAGTAGAGCTGAGTGACAAGCCTCAACAAGGGACATCAGACGAAATACATATGCTGATTGGTGCAGACTATATCAACGCGGTACTGCACAGCAAGAAGGAAGTTAATGGTGAGACGGTGTGGAACACAGAGATAGGTAATGTATTATCTGGTCCAGCGTCTGCACCAAGTCGAAACAGTCAGCCGGTGACCGTGTCATGTGTCACAGCCCACATCGACAAACTATGGCAGTTGGATGAACCTCCAGAACAACATCAGCACCTGCCATCTTTCCCGCTATGTCGCCAGGGCAGCGGGTACCAAGTGGGTCTCTTGTGGCGAAATGAGCGTCGGCCAACGGATAACTTTGCTCAAGCTAGAGTCATCGCAACGCGGCTTCTTGAAAAGCTGAAGAGGAATGGGAAGCGTGCGCTCTATGATGATGTGCTGATCAGGGAGTGCCGCGAGCTTGGAGCAATTGAGCTGGAGCCATGTGAGAGCGATGCCGGGTACTATGTACCGCATCATGGTGTGTTCCGCGAGCACGCTGCAACCACGAAGTTAAGAGTGGTGTTCAATGCCTCGGCGACGGCGCCAGATGGCAAGTCGTTGAAAGACATGGTTGACCCTGGACCGTCGCTATTGCCGAGTCTCGCAGGTATGCTATTACGGTTCCGTGAATATAAGAGCGCGCTGCAAGCGGACATCCGCAAGGCTTTCTTCATGGTCGCGGTTAATCCCGAAGACCGTCCGTACCTGCGTTTCTTGTGGCCCGGTCGAAGCGACAGCGATGAACTGTTAACCTGGAGGCTAACGAAACTGCCATTTGGCGTAAACTGCTCGCCATACATGCTTACTGCGGTGATTCAGCATCACTTGAAGGAGCTACGGGCGTTGTCTGCACCCAAAGAGCGAGATCGTATTGATCTCTTGCTCACGAGTTTCTACGTTGACGATTTGGTCTCTAGTGTCTCAAATGCCTCGGAAGCTAAGGAGATGCAAGAGTTCAGCGTGCGTGTGCTTACGGATGCTGGCATGGAGTTACGCAAGTGGCGAGGCAACGAAATCCCGTGCGATCCAGAGGCCGGAGATAAAGTTCTCGGTCTGAAATGGAAAACCAGTGATGACTTGCTCAGCATAGCAGCGCTAGGCGAGTCCGATAGGCCGTCTGTTTGGACCCGGCGATCCCTCCTCAAGTGTGTTGCGTCAGTGTTTGATCCGCTAGGTCTAGCAGCACCGGCAGTTGTGCCCGGAAAGATACTGCTACAGCAAGCCTGGAAAGTCGGAGGCGACTGGGATGATAAGTTGCCTGATGGCATCGCAGCCGCATGCGCGCAATGGTGGGGAGAGTTGGCCGAAGTGGTGAGCATTGACGTACCACGTTGGATTTGCTGCAATCTTGACACGCCGATTGCGCTTCATGCCTTCGCCGATGCCAGTGAGAAAGCGTTTGGATGTTGTTTGTATGCAGTCGTCAATGGACAGTCGCACTTGGTATTTGCCAAGGCCAAAGTGGTACCCGTGTCTCCACCCACGTTAGCCCGCCTTGAGTTACAAGCAGTATGTCTAGCGGCTCGCTACGCTGAGTTTGTGGTGAAGGAGCTGCGTGTGACCGTCACGCAAGTCTATGGCTGGACTGACAGTCTCACTACCGTTCATTGGATCAGTAATCCATCGTACAAATGGAAAACATTTGTGGCTAACCGCGTCAGTCAAGTCCAAGAGATATCGAAGAAGGTCGGCATTGTGTGGAACCATTGCCCAGGCCTTCACAACCCAGCAGATTTACCGTCGCGTGGGAGTAGTGCACAGCAGATCCGTAGTCCGTTCTGGAGGGGCGGACCAACCTGGATCACGGAGCCCAAGGACTGGCCCACCGCATCCTCAACCGCAGCTACAGATGAGTCCAGTGTAGAAGTACGAGTGTCAGCCACCACCTGTAGTCGAGAATCTGATAAGGAATGGTGGCTCCGATTCAGTAAATGGTCGAGGGCACAGGGCATGGTGACTCGGATGTTGCAGTGGAAGCACACTGAGCCTCGTGCTGAACTCTATTTTGCAGCAGACAACGTATTGTACCGCATCGTTCAAGCCGCATGTTTCGCTGAGGATCTTGAGCTGATCAAGCAAGGTCAACCAGTGAAGCCTGGGTCGAAGGTGTATCAGCTTGCACCGTTTCTGGATGAGCATGGAGTGCTCAGAGCCGGGGGACGACTTCAGCACAGCGAGTTGGCGTATGGAGCCAAGCACCCAGTCCTGTTAGGCAAACATCATCTGACCGAGTTGCTGTTGGAGAAAATGCATGTTGAAAGGATGCACCAAGGTGTAGAAGGAGTCTTGTCGTTCATCCGTCAGAAATTCTGGATTATCGGTGGTCGACGGGCGCTACGCAACATTACTCAGCGATGTGTTACATGCCGCCGCTACAAGGCTAAGGCTGCCTCAGAAGTCTGCCCGCCGCTGCCGGAAGACCGAGTTGTTCACGAGAGGCCGTTCGCAACTACCGGCATCGACTATGCTGGTCCGTTGTACGTGCGCCGTGGTGAGTCATCTCCGAAGGTATGGATAGCATTGTTTGTGTGTGCCACCACCAGAGCAGTTCACTTGGAGGTGGTCGATAGTTTAAGTACCGAGTCATTCTTGATGGCATTTCGGAAGTTTGTCGCGAGACGTAGTTTGCCGTCTCGGATCAGGTCTGACAACGCTACAACGTTCAAGGCGGCTTCTGACAAACTGGGTGTGCCATGGATGTTCAATCCTCCAGCTGCACCATGGCATGGAGGCTTCTATGAGCGAATGGTTGGTACAGTGAAGAGTGCCTTGAAAAAGGTAATGGGAACAGCGTTTCTGAAGGTCCAGGAGCTTGAGACCCTCTTGTATGAGGTTGAAGCAGTGGTGAATAGTCGTCCGCTAACTTATGTGTCTGATAGCCTGGATGAGCCACCAGTAACCCCTGCAATGATGATGGGTGACATCTGGATGTCGTCAGAGAAGCCCGCAGGTACCCTGGACGCTGCGCAGATGTCATCAAGATTGCGTTACCTCAGTCGGACACTGGAGCATGTCAAGAATCGTTGGGAGGTGGAGTACCTAAGTCAGCTGAACAAACACCAACAGACCATGTCGCGCCCTTTAGCTGTGGGTGATGTTGTCTTTGTTCTCGATGATACCAAGCGCAAACAGTTCTGGCGTTTGGGACGGATCATCGAGTTATTCCCTGGTCGAGATGGTAAGCGTCGTGTTGCCAAGGTTAAGTTGAGTACCAGTACCCTGTTGAGGCCGATCCAAAGGTTAGTGCCGTTAGAAGTATCGTCACAGGACGTGGCTCCTGGGCTTGCAGATACCGCTCAACCTGCTATCGTCCCTCAGCAGCCAGCGTATGAACCGTCAGCACCGTTACCACCACCACGGCAGCAGGAGATAACGCGTTCTGGGCGCGTAGTCAGAGCCCCGGATCGTTTTTGACTTGTGTGCATTGTTGTACGGCGGTGAGAAGCCCTTTGGTGGGGAGAATGTTGTAAACCACCAGTTCTCAATTGGGAAAGGCCTTCGCGCTTATGGCATTGTATTCGTTGAAATGTTGTATTTCGACTCCGCCGTACCGCTGATGTTGCTGCATGGCATACGCTATATGCGTTGTGTGCGTTTTGCTGTATACGCTGTTATGTCCAGTTTTATCTGCTTATGTTTTGCATGTACGCTGTTTTTGCATGCTATAAATAGCTGGTGTTATTAGTGTTCATTGTTAATTATCAGATGAAGTGAAATATACTGTGTAAAGGAAAAGAGTTGTCCTCGTGCCGTGTGGTCGTACGATCCTGACAATTTAGAGAATCTTGCAGGGTTCACAACAGCTCTACTAAAGTATACCCACTGGCCAGTGGTTATGTTGTAGCTCTACTAAAGTATACCCACTGGCCAGTGGTTATGTTGTAGCTCTACTAAAGTATACCCACTGGCCAGTGGTTATGTTGTAGCTCTACTAAAGTATACCCACTGGCCAGTGGTTATGTTGTAGCTCTACTAAAGTATACCCACTGGCCAGTGGTTATGTTGTAGCTCTACTAAAGTATACCCACTGGCCAGTGGTTATGTTGTAGCTCTACTAAAGTATACCGTGTATACAGTATAACCTTCAACTAACGACCACCCCTCGGGGCAAGAAGAAACGGTCTTTAGTGGCAGGTGGTCTTTAGATAGAGGTTTGCACCCCTCAACCATATATGGATCCCATCTCTGATATGTATGTCAAAATGTAGCTAATACAATTTCCCACCACTTGCGCAATGCCATTTCTCCTTTGAGAAGTAGCATCGATCATAGAGCAGGTTCGAGCAGGTGCTCTCCAAGACGTTTTCTTTCATGTTTGCTCATGCGAGCACTTGAAACTATGACAGGTGCAGTTCAGCCCATTGTCAAAATGAGATTGCGTTCATTCGTGCAGCTGTAGTATTGAAAGAGTCCATTCAGGATAGAAAATCATCAAAATTTCGAAGAAGGAACTTCGAACAACCTTTGATTTCCTGCACTGCCGTCGCTAGTTACAGGTCAAAAATTGACTTTGGGACAAGAAAAGGCGGTCGCTGGACGCGTTCAGCAGGTAGTCGCTTGTCACAGTGCATTTTTGTATATGAGACCGTCCGTGCCTGGTGAAGTGGTGTGTAGAACCAGGCTGGTCGCTAGTTACGGTGGTCTTTAGTACCAGGCTGGTTGCTAGTCACGGTGGTCTTTAGTACCAGGCAGGTTGCTAGTCACGGTGGTCTTTAGTACCAGGCTGGTTGCTAGTCACGGTGGTCTTTAGTACCAGGCAGGTTGCTAGTCACGGTGGTCTTTAGTACCAGGCTGGTTGCTAGTCACGGTGGTCTTTAGTACCAGGCTGGTTGCTAGTCACGGTGGTCTTTAGTACCAGGCTGGTTGCTAGTCACGGTGGTCTTTAGTACCAGGCAGGTTGCTAGTCACGGTGGTCTTTAGTACCAGGCTGGTTGCTAGTCACGGTGGTCTTTAGTACCAGGCTGGTTGCTAGTCACGGTGCCGGTCTTTAGTTACAGTTGTTTTACTCTATATGGCTTTGAGGCGCATTGTTCACCACATTTACAAACAGAGGAACATGCAATTTTCTGGCAACATCTTTGACAGCAATGCTGACTGGATGAGCACATGTTGGATTTATCAGAATAAACAAACCAGTCATCAGAACAAACAGTTTCACGCCGAGCACTTCGTCCAGTACTCACATGTCGTGGCTCCTTAAAGGCATTGAACATAACTTTGCCGTGCAAGAGCGACGGATCACACCAGAGTAAAAACTGGACACAATGAATGCTGCCATAGTAGCATGCTGCCAGCACCAGAAGAGCCTGAGTATGCAAGCACAAAATGCGCACGCACACACAAACAAGCACACAGATACGTACGTACATGCATGCACACATGCACATGCTGACATGCTCACACACACACACACACACACACACACACACACACACACACACACACACACACACACACACACACACACACCATTAAAACACTCAATCTCAACCATTAAAACACATATTTTGCACGCAAGTATGCACACAAACACTCACGCAGGCGCGTGCGCACACTACACACACACATACACACACACACAAACACACATAAGGATACATACACACACATATACACACATACACACAAAATACACAAACAAACAAATCAAACAGATAAAGATACACACATTCTAGCATGTTCAAACACACATACACCCAAACACACAAACCAACACAGACAATCACAAACACACGGACAGTTGCATGCTCGCATATACACGCACGCACACGCGTACGCGAACACACACACACACGCGCTCAGAACTCAGAACTCAGACATGCCCATCACGGATGATAGCTAACAGCTATGTTAGACATAGCAACTTGTGCTATGATTATACCATTCAACAGCTTGCAAGGCTGATGATTTGACAGCCACTAATCTTAGCCTGGTATCCACCACACAGCTGATTGAAGTGGCTTTTTCTGGCCAGTGAATCCCTATTGTTCATTTTTTTCCATTTTTACACACACAGACACACACACACACATACGCACACACACACACACACACACACACACACACACACACACACACACACACACACACACACACACACACACACACACACACACACACACACACACACACACACACACACACACACACACACACACACACACACACACACACACACACACACACACACACACACACACACACACACACACACACACACACACACACACACACACACACACACACACACACACACACACACACACACACACACACACACACACACACACACACACACACACACACACACACACACACACACACACACACACACACACACACACACACACACACACACACACACACACACACACACACACACACACACACACACACACACACACACACACACACACACACACACACACACACACACACACACACACACACACACACACACACACACACACACACACACACACACACACACACACACACACACACACACACACACACACACACACACACACACACACACACACACACACACACACACACACACACACACACACACACACACACACACACACACACACACACACACACACACACACACACACACACACACACACACACACACACACACACACACACACACACACACACACACACACACACACACACACACACACACACACACACACACACACACACACACACACACACACACACACACACACACACACACACACACACACACACACACACACACACACACACACACACACACACACACACACACACACACACACACACACACACACACACACACACACACAAACATAAACACACACACACACACACACACACACACACACACACACACACACACACACACACACACACACACACACACACACACACACACACACACACACACACACACACACACACACACACACACACACACACACACACACACACACACACACACACACACACACACACACACACACACACACACACACACACACACACACACACACACACACACACACACACACACACACACACACACACACACACACACAAAGAAACACACACAGGCTAGCACACTCAAATATGCACGTACCCATCCGAGTATGTACGCACACTCCCGCATACACATGTGCACGCGCGCACGCACACACACACACACACACACACACACACACACCTTGGTAACACTGCCATCAAATGGTCACGTGTCCCCTGTGCAGGGGTCGACAGCACTGAGTTCAGCATTGGACCCAGAAACGCCGCTCTACTTCCTGGACAGGAAATTAGCACAGCTATGCAGGTCAAAACCACGGGATGACTTGCAGCAGCGACCGCAGCCGAGACAATGCGCTCTGCAGCAGGGCAGGGCAACCCGATGTTTCCGGACCGAGTCTGCCGATGCCACACCCGAGACCGACGCCACTTCAGCAGCCGAGTTGGAGAGACACTTATGCGAAGCTAGCCCGCCAGCACTCAAGAACCATCTCCCGCAAGCATTACATAGTCGGCTGCCGGACTGCTCAGATATGGGCTTCCTCCTCTCGGCCAGGTACTTGTGTCGATTCTTGTATTTCTGGTGGGCGAAAGTACGCTGGCAAACATCGCAGAGCACAGAAGTGTCACGCTGAGCCGATCGCGGTACTGGTTGAGCGGAATACGCACTGCGCCATTTCCCACGCTCCTGGGCGAGGTCGTACCATTCCGTGTGGTCGATGTTCACTGCGGAGAGGTCAGCTCTGACAGAGTCTCACCACCGTTTCCGAGGACCGCAAGCCGGCCTCGGCGGAAGGAGCGCACTAAACAGGAGCTGGCGCGGAGTTCTATCGCCGTCCATCCTAGCTAGATGGCCTAGCCACTCCAGACGGCGGCGAAGAACACGTGTGGTAATATCCACTGGATCTCGACGATTCCAGGCCTCCAGAATGGTCTTCCTGTTGATGTGGAAGTCCCAGGTGTCTCTTCTACCGAGGGCTAAGATTGCGGAAATGCAGCGAAGATGGAAGGCGGACAGCACCGCAAGCTCGCTTTTCAGTGGTACCCAACACTCCGCTCCGTAAAGGAGAAGAGAAGCCACACATGCATCATACACCATTCGCTTCGTTGCCAGTGAAAGATCGCCATCATCAAAGACAGATCGACGCAATGCTCCGAATGGCCTAGATGCTGACGCTATTCGGGACCGAGTGTCCACTGCGGTGCGGCCACCAGTATGGATGATGGAGCCTAGGTAGCTAAAGTCATGCACATTCTCGACAATTTCCCCGCCAACCACCAATGGACGACGATCCTCCGGAGAAATGCCGAAGCCGAATTACTTTGGTTTTTGATAGGTTGATGGTGTGGCCGAAGCGAGTTGCGACGTCCATGAACCGGCTGAGCGCAAGTGTGGCACCATGGTGAGTTGTAGCAATAAGTGCCGAATCGTCTGCGAATTGACAGTCACGATGGATGTTGATTGTGTCAGTCTTCTGGCGTTTGAAAAGGAGAGACGGTCCAGAGTTAGAGGAGACGGGAAGTCCAATCTCAGGTATGTCCGCAACCTCACGCTGCCACAGCTGGAATACTGCCCACATGAATATATTGAACAATACTGGGGCCATACAACAACCTTGTCGAAGGCCATTTTGCACCTCAATAGGCTCGGCCTCGATGCCCGAGATCGACAGGTTTGCAGACATAGAGGTATGAAATGAGCTGATAATGGTAACCAGCTTGTCAGGTACGCCCGCCTTCCGGAGAATTTCCCACATGCACTTACGGGTGACGGAATCATAGGCCTTCCGTAGATCAACAAAAGCCATGAAACCAGAGCAGCGATGTTCTTATAGTTTCTCAGATATTTGTCTCACCGCGAAGATCATGTCCGCACAAGATCTGCCTTTGCGGAATCCACACTGCATGTCTGGCAGGATGTCTTCCGCGAGCCGCTGCAATCTTGTCTGGACGAGGCCAGCAACAGCCTTTCCTACCACCTCCAGAAGAGCGATGCCCCTCCAATTGTCACAGCTGGATAGATTTCCTTTTTTTGGTATCGGGACAAGCTGGCAGTCCACCCACTCCTGGGGCACCCGCTCTGCATTCCACACTGTCTGGACAAGGTCTAGTAGTGCCATCATGAGGCCATCCCCACCAGCCTTCAGCAGTTCAGGTAAGATTCCAGAGCCTCCTGCTGCTTTTCCGTTCCGTAGTCGGCGCACAGCTTGCCTAAGCTCTTCCAGAGTAGGTGGATCGGCGAGGTTTTCACACACTTCCTGTTGCTCAATGGTGGCAACAGTTGCAGGTTCATACGAGGTTGGAACATTGTAAACCTTGGAGAAGTGGCGGTGCCATGTGCGGCCCTGATCCGCCGGTGAATTACAGACATTTCCGTTCTCGTCCCGCACAGCGACTGCAGTTACACCCACAAGCCCTCGCCGAGCCGTCTGCATGGTCTTGATACCGGCCCAAATGCGCGCCGAGTCAAAGCGCCCCTTCTCAGTACGTTGTGCCATGGCAGCAAACCAATCATTCTTCGCAGCTCAGGTGGCAGCACGAGCCCTCGTGCGCGCAACACGGTAGCGCGAATACTCTTCCTGATTTCGGCCACTAGTGATACATGTTCGATAGCATGCATTGCGCGCGTCCAGCAGTGGCCGCAGCCCGTCCTGGCTTTCCGTAAACCAATCAGGCTGCCGTCTCCTCTGATGACCGAGAGTGTCCGCAGCTGCCGCCGTCACCACGTCCCGCATCGCATTCCATTTCTCGTCTACCGTGTCCGCGTCCGCCACTGCATCAATCTTGGCATTGATGTTTTCCTGGTAGTCGTCAACCTTCCTCCGGTGGTTTCCCTCAGCATCTGTCGAAACCACTGCGGGCAGATTATGCACTGCAAATCGTACTCTCTTTGTAGATTTCCGCGGTTTCCACAAGACCCTGCCGAGCCTAAACCTGGCGGCAACAAGACTATGGTCGCTCCCACATTCTGCCGAGCGAATAACCTGAGCATCAGTGCACCAGTGCCGGCTCCCTTGCGCTGTGATGATGAAGTCAATACAATGGACATGTTTAGTTCTGGGATGCTGCCAAGTGCCTTTCAATTCCTGCTTTTTCCTGAACCAGGTGTTCGCGATCCAGCATTGATGCATTGCCAGAAACTGAAGTAGCTCCTCCCCAGACGAATTCAGGCAGCCCAAGCCATGTGAGCCACGCACAGCGCTCCAATCATCACCTGGCTCTCCAGACCTCACTCTGGCATTGAAATCTCCAAGTAGAACAAATTTATCTGTGC